TGATCCCAGGGTGCGCAGATAAGCAGGAATTCCCTATAATATTATATGGATATTTGTTCCATTGTTTTAATCGTACTGCTGACTTTAATGTCAGTATGTTGATGTAAACAATTTTGGGGGAGATATAAGTAAACAGGTTTCCTCTCACTTGTATTGTTGTTTTCCTTTGAATGTAATAAGATTCAGCTTGTCAATAGTGATGTACCGAACGGTTCGCCGGCGAACGGTTCCCGGCGAACATAGCATGTTCGCGTTCGCCACGGCGGGCGAACATATGCGCGGTTCGACCCGCCCCCCATTCGTCATCATTGAGTAAACTTTGACCCTGTACCTCACAGTCAGCAGACACATTCCAGACAATTAGCAGCACAGCCTCCCTAGCAGACCCTCCCACCTACTGGACAGCATCCATTTTAGATTCATTCTCAAGCTGCATGCTTAGTAAGAGGAGGGAAAGTGTAGCTGCTGTTCATAAGATAGGAAAAGCATAGCTAGGTTAGGGATAAGGGTATGCTTTTTTTGGATTTTTTTTTTCTATCTAATGTAAATGCACTTAGTTGTCTGCCACTGCTGCCAGCTTCTGTGTCAGGCTCACAGTGCCCATTTCCCCAGTCAGTGCCACCAATTACATCTGGTGTCACAATAGCTTGAATTTAAAAACAAAAAACTTTTTTCACTGTTATAGATTGAATAGCAGTCAGTTGTCTGCCACTGCTGCCAGCTTCTGTGTCAGGCTCACAGTGCATACTGTGCCCATTCCCCAGTCAGTGCCACCAATTACATCTGGTGTCACAATAGCTTGGATTTAAAAACAAAAAACTTTTTTTACTGTTATAGATTGAATAGCAGTCAGTGTCCTTAAAGCGTGTGTGTTACGCTAACAGTGGATACGCTGACAAGTGCCACTAATTAGATCCTGTGTCACAATAGTTTGGATTTAAAAACAAAAAACTTTTTTTACTGTTATAGATTGAATAGCAGTCAGTGTCCTTAAAGCGGGTGTGTTACGCTAACAGTGGATACGGTGACCAGTGCCACCACTTAGATCTGGTGACACAAAGCTTGGATTAAAAACAAAAAACACTTTTTTCACTGTTATAGATTGAATAGCAGTCAGTGTCCTTAAAGCGGGTGTGTTACGCTAACAGTGGATACGGTGACCAGTGCCACCAATTAGATCTGGTGATACAAAGCTTGGATTTAAAAAAACAAAACACTTTTTTCACTGTTATAGATTGAATAGCAGTCAGTGTCCTTAAAGCGGGTGTGTTACGCTAACAGTGGATACGCTGACCAGTGCCACTAGTTAGGTCGGGTGTCGCGATGGGTTGGAGTTAAGAAA